CAAAAAGGCATTAACAATACTTTTCAACTTAAATTAAAAATTAGGAAACAAATGAAATATTAATTTTTATGTAAATAAAAATATACGTAAATAGAAAATAAATTATATATATATAAGCTAAAGAGTAGTTAAGAAGAAAATTTTTCTTTTGCCAAATTTTTTTTCAAATTTTTATATTATTTTTTATTTTACACACTAAACTTACTTAATATGCCAATTATTTTTTGTTAATTTTTTAGATTAGGAAACTCACCGTTGGTAAATTTTTTTTTCATAAAAACTTATTTATTTTTCAAACAATTTAATTTTTAATAATTTTGTTTATATTATCTTCAAGCCAAAACAATTGATAAGCCTAAACAATTTTAATTTTAAATTTTTTAAAATTTTATTTTGCCTAAATTTGACTATTGTAAAAATTTTGTTTGATTATGTTAAGTGACTCCAAACGTTTTGTGTTGCATTTGTCGGAGTTGTTTCTAATCTAATATATATTTATAATCCAAATAATATGTTTTTAAAAAGTATTAGTTTTTTATTTTAAGAAATTTTAATTTTTCGTTAGTGCAAAAGATACCATCATTCAGTGAAGAATTAAACTAATTTAAATAAATAAATATCAAATTATTTATTAAAATAATTTTAAATAATTTTTAAAATAATTAAAATTAATTTTTAAAATAACTTCAGTTAATTTTAAAAATAATTTGAATAAATTTTAAAAATTATTTTAATTAATTTTAAAAATAATTTTATTAAATTTCAAGAATAATTTTAATTAATTTTGAAAATAATTTCATTTAATTTTAAAAATAATTTGAATTATTCTTGAAAATAATTTTATTTAGTTTTAAAAATAGTTTTAATTAAGTTCAGAAATAATTCATTCTAATTAATTTCAAAAATAATTTCAAATAGTTTTAAAACTAATTTTAATTAATTTTAAACTAATTTAAAATAATTTTAAAATTAATTCTTATTAGTTTCAAAATTAATTTTAAAATTGATTTTATTTAATTTTAAAAATAATTTTAATTAGTTTTAAAAATAATTTCATTTAATTTTAAAAATAATTTCAATTAATTTTGAGAATAATTTTAAAATATATATTAATTTTTAAATAATTTTAAAAATATATTTAAATTATTTTTTAAACTAATTACAAATTTTTCATTATTACAATTTCGAATTGTTAGTAAAAATAATTTTCAATTATTTTTATAAATAATTTTCAATTATTTTTATAAATAATTTTTTTTATTTTTATTAATAATTTTCAATTATTATACAAAAAATTTTAATTTATTGTATTAAATAATTTTCAATTATTTTTAAAAATAGTTTTCAATTATTTTTAAAATTAATTTAAAGTAAATTATAATCAAGGTTTTAAGAAACTGAATGTATATGTAATTAATTACAATATAAAAAGTAAATATTTGTGAAAACATTTTTTGGTGAAGTATATTTAGTTTTAAGAAAAAAAAAAAAATATTTGTACTATTTTTTCATTCAATTTTGTTGTAACCAACATTTAGTATGAAATGTTAATTATATTACTTAATTTTTATTGTAATATATAAAAAAAAAATTTTTTTTGCTAGTTTTTTGCTCCGAAATGTGTTAATTTTTTGCTGTTTCCATTAAACCAGTTTAATTTATTTCATTTTTAAAATTTGGTAATTTGGTAAAAATGTTGGTCATGAAGGATATATAAATCGTATATATTTTATTTTGGGATTTTATATAAAATTTGATTTTCGTAATGAAGTTGATGCCGTATTTGTTGTTTTAAAATATTTTATTGATGTTTTAATATACAATATTTAAATAAATATTGTTTTTTTTCAGCTATATTAAAACATCAATTTTAATTTACCATCTTTCTTTTGATTAAAGAAAGTAGGTAAATATATCCCTCTTAACCCTCCCACATTCCAAGCGTAAAAATATAATACTGAATGAGTTGAAGTTTTAAAAAAATGATATCAAGTATAAAAAATTTAAAAATTAAAATAGTATATATATATATATATATATATAAATCTATATAAAATAAATACAAAAAAGAATTTGTATTTATAACATCTTTTTCATAGGTTAATGGATATAATATTAATCCAAGTATTAGAACATTTGTAATCATTCTTCTTCTTTCTTCAGGAAGTTATGATTGCAGTGAATTAGGATTAAGTCATCAGTAACTTCTTTTAAATAAAATATCCATTTCATGATGAGTGAATGAACTCTACTATTGCAATCATATTATAATAGTTATAAAACTTGAGACTATATTGCTTCAGATATAGTTTGAAAGAATCAAATTAGTCAGATAACAAGAAAATATATCAGTGAAAATGATGTTTTGTGTCCGTGAATATAAAATATTATAATATTGTATACCATAGTAATATATATTATAATAAAATATGCTAATATAATATATAATATAATAATATGTATTAGAATAGTATACGCTATATTATTACATATTATAATAATATATATTATATTAATAAACACCATAATAATAAATGCCACAATAATAGAGATCATAATAACATATGTTAGAAAAGTATATACTATTATAATATATACTATAATAATATATATTATAATAATACACTATATATTATTTTCATAATATAGAATTTGTGTGACTTTTAGTAACAATTATTGTTATAGTAATGAACATTTGCAGTGGCAAAAATTTGAATTAAAATTAATTAAAAAAAATTTTTTTTTCAAACAAAAAATATTTATTAGATATTTAATTAAAACAAAATGAAAAGATTTTTTTTAAATAATTATTTTTTTCCAATATATTTTCAATATAAATTTCAATAAAATACAATAAATTATAATTATATGTTACATTGTTTTAAAAATTATAAAATCAAAATTATTTAATCATTTAAACTTAAACTCGAAATTAGCACAAAGTTAAAACTAATTATAATATAATTTTCAATAGATTATTATTAATATATTTTTTCAACAATACTTAACAGGATTTTATATACAAAGTTTGAAAGAAACTATTGTTTTTAACTTATATGCATAAATAAAAAAATAATTAAGACTAAAGTGAGGTATAGGACTAGTGTGATTTAACTTAAAACTAAAACATTTAAATGAAAAAAGTGCTTCCAGGTGCAAAATTATATAGATTTATATAATAGTATATAAAATCTGCATGAAAAAGTTTTAACAATTATTTACTTTATATTGCTAAATTATTGTTAATTTTAATATGCAACTTTGGTTTTTCTACTGTATGATTGATATCTTGTGCCTAACGCCGTAATATATTTGTTTTAATTTAGAAGAAACCGTATTTTTTTTTATTAATTTATGTCGATAACTCAGCGAATAAAATTTAATTAATTAATAATTAAAAATTGTTTTTTCCATATTGAAAAGTATTTGTTACTAAAAAAATATTATTATAAAATAGACACTGAACGTTATATGAAGAAAATTAATTTAATTTTATTTTTAAAATTATAATATTTGTAGCAATTTAAAAAAAACAGGGTTAACACAAATATTCTAAATTTATTGAAATTTAGTTATTTTGCAAACAAGAAAAATATTAAATAATAATTTTAAGGAATCATATCAATTGAAATAATTAATTTGTGTGAAATAAAATTAATTTATATTTAATTTAAAAAAACAAACATATTTTTTAAAATCTTATAAAATTTTTAATTAAAAAAAATTAAAATAAATTCTCATAAAATAACCAGATTGGCTGATTTCATTGAAAGTAATTTTAATTAAAATTTTTTTTAATTAAAAAAAATAATATTTAATGGAGAATTAAAAATGAGTTTAATTCATTTTAGAATAATTTCAAAAATTTAGTATAATTCAAAAATAATTTTTAAGTTATTAAATTATTATTGAATTTCAAATAATTTAATAAGTTAAAAATGTATTTATTCTATGACTTCGGGTAATCTATAGAACTACGAAAATGTTATTATTTAAGATATTCAGTTTAATTTTATTTTACTCACTAACACACATAATATTTGTTTATATATTTATATATGTTTATTTTAGTATTAAACAGCTTTTCAGTGATTTTAATATATTTAAATAATCTTTATTTTAAATTTTTAAAATACTTTAACATGTTGCAACAGCGTTTTATTGGCTTCTATAACTGCCTATATATATATTTATACGTATTCTTAACTGCTTATTTGTAAAAATATTGTAAATATATATAACTATTTCTCATTTATATGAAATATGTGCAAAAGACTTAGAGGAAAAAACCTGCTATAAATAAGTAAAATATACTGTCTTGTAACTGAAGAAAAAAGTTTATATAGATTTATCTGCAGAAAATATATTAGAAATACATATTCTTAGAAAATCCATTGAAATAAAAATGGTTCTATATACTCATATTAATCAGTTAAAATTTTTGAATATTTGAAAAATAAACTATTATTTGCAATTTACAATTTACACACTATTTGAAAACTATAAATGTTTCAGTTGACTTTCAGTTTAGTTAATAATGTTTTGACTTGGTTTATAACTTTTGCTAAGAGTTTTCAAATAAAATCTGAAAAATCCAGCATTTTGTGTTTTCTGTGTCTCTAAGGCTGTCTTTAAGGGTTTGTGTGGTTCGTTATAGAAAAAAAGATTTTCTTATATGTTTTCTTAGATATTTTTTTTACTAAATTTTTACTGTTCCTTGCTGTATTTTGTATGCCGTATGTGTGTTTCGTTCGTTATAAATTATATATTAAAAAAAAATTTTTTTATAGAATTAAATAAATTTTTCAAATAAAAATAATTTTTTTTTTGCCAAAATATTTTTTTTCTTCTTTTTGCTTAATAATTAATTTTGTTTTGTATCGAAATGTTTTAATTTTTTTCTCGTAATTTTCTCTTTAATAATTTGTCTTAATTTTTAAGTAATTGATTATTTTTTTTTTATTTATTTTTTTTTAAATTAAATTTTTGTTTAGTTTTTGGATTTAAAGGCCTAAACGCGAGTATATCGTCGATAAATCTTGCAGTCATTTTCAGCTTAATTTATCTTAAAAAGGTATTTTTTTTGTCGTATTCAAAATTTCTTCTTTTTTCTTTTTGGTTTCTTAAAAATATTATACTTTTGAACGTCGGCACACTAAAATTAATTGCAAGTTGTTCCTTTAAAGCAAACCTAAACAAATGGTTCGAATATTTTTGGTTGCCTGAAAACGAACCACTTGAGTTTTGTGTAAGTCAAGTTTTTTTTTTGCTTTTGTATAATTTCTAAAAAATTATATATAAATTATTGCCTCTAATATAGTTGGTCGCTATGATAATTTTGTTGCTATTATTCAAATCCGTGGAAAAGCATTTCAAGTTCATATTTGGGTTCATATTTTTATAGGATTTTTTTGTTCAAGTTTAGTTTTGTATTTTTTTTGCTTATAAATTTATTCCAATTGTTCCAGAAAATTTGGTAACTTGAAATATTCGGGCACAGGATCGTCCAAACGTGATATTATTTTGTAAATTGGTTTCTTCCAGGATTGCTCCGTATCTTTGCCGGTTTGTATTGCACGGAAAAATTCACGCAGTGTTTGCTCAATAACAAAGCGAAAATTTTGTGGCACCTAAAGTTTTGTATGAAGAAAAGAGAAAAATAAATAAATTAAATAAATTTAGAAATAAAAAAATTTAATAAAATTATAATAAGCTTAAATGAAAAAAGAGAGGACTTCGAACTGTAATTGAACCGTAAACCGAAAAAACCGATAATTTTACCGATAACGAATCGATCAAAATAAATCGATTTCTTTTGGTTCAGTACTATACTGTTTGGTACCTATATCTATATGCATATTGCTTTTGTTATAACATTAATAAATAAAAATTAAAATTCAAAAATTGTTTTTATGTATACAAAAGTAGTTTATATTTTTATTGAAAATAAAATTATTTAAGTTTACTTTTTCAAGAGAGTGATTATTATAAGCATACCGAAAAAAAAATTTTGAAACCTTTTCTCTGTATGAAAATAGATACCTTGATATCACGCTACTAAATTAATCAAATCTTTTATTTAGAAAATATTTTGTTCTAACAATAATAATAATTATAACAATATTATAATTATGTTCTTAAACATTATAATTAAATATTTTTTAAATATAAAAAAAAATGGCAAAAAATCTAATTAATATTATTTAAAATTTTTAGGCAGTAGTTAGTTACTTTTAACATCTGTAGTTTTATTTTATAAATGTAAGAGTTTTTCTCAAGAATTTTAATACAAATTAAGCTTACCTCAATGTGATTATTGCGATTATAGTGTAAATTAAGTACTCGGTACAATTCACTATCGCCACCAACGTGAAGATCTTCAGCGCACTTAACGCCTTCTGTAACAGCTTGACGCGCATATTTTTCCATTTGTATATAGTAAAATTCTCTGTAAAAACAAAAAAAAAGATGAGAATAATATTAATTTTTAAATAAATTGTAATATAAAACTTTCATATAATAATCTATAACGTTTCTTAAACTTTACTCTTATTAACTTTCTCAACTACTTGCCATTACATTTTTTTTTTGCGGAAGTTGCACTGACTTTAACTAATATATTGTTTGACAACATCCTTAGGATATATATTTAGGCGCCTGTTAAAAGTATTATAACAAACACTTGTCAGAAATAACATACCCACAAAGAACATATTATACTGCTTCCCCTTCACCCCTCACCCGTCAAACTCATATTATATAAAAAAACAAAAACAACTAGAACTAAATGCAGAAAAAGCAGTTGCAATACCCGGAGTTAAGCACAAGTAAATCGAAAATAAGAAGTGCATTAAACAATTTATCATTGCATATTTCTAGGCTTAAGTTTGTCTTCTACATTTTGCTAAGTATTTGCTGTCTTTTAATGATTTTCATTATTTTCTTTTCTTTTTTATTTGGTCTTTTGTTTTTGTTGTTGTTAAGTTGCATAGAGAACGTTGCAGTAATAAAAACAGTTGTGGCAGCAGTAGCGCCTCGGGGGAACTTAAAAGCGCGTTTTTAATTTGACATCGAAGTACAACGACGTTTTTGCTGTCGTAGTCATCAACTTTGCTGTTCGTTGTTTTGTGAGTATAATTTTTATTTGCTAAAGTGTGCAAATAATTTTTCTTCTCTTTTATTGTTTGGAAAATTTTTTTATTTACATTATTTCTGCACATACTCGTGTACGCCCCCTTCTCTGTTAGAAGTTTTGTAATAAAAGAAAAGTGCGAGCTTAGGGAAATCTTGAAATTAGCGCGATTATAAGCAGAAATAGGAGAAAAAAATTGTTATTATGAAATGTTGACAATTACAGAAGACATACGTATATGAAAACCGTAAATGGAGACAAGCAGTAATCGTAGATTGCAATAGATGATAGTTATTATACAAGCATTTGAAAGAGTTTCGTTGTAGGTTCTTGTTAACTATTGAGATAATGATAATAAAAATTATGAAATTCATGCTGTTAAAATATTGATTTTCATATAATTGATAAGCTTTTTAAAAATTTGTAAAATTAGTTTGAAAATGTTTTGTATGGTTTTCATTTGCTGAGTTTTGCTGCTTAATATTATTTGTTAATAATAATAATTTAGTTATAAATTATAGCTAATATATTGAAATTTTATATAACAATTTTTAAAAATTTGTGTTTAGATGTTTGATCTAGCTTTTTTGAGTATGAAAGTGTGTTAATTTTTATTACAATTAATTTAGAATTATTTTATTAACTAATTTAATTATTTATTCCAAGAATCAACTCATTATTTCTTCTCCTACTCGCAAACCCTTTCAAATATTTTGCTAATTATATCCCTTCATAACATTTTCCTTATATTTATGCAAACACATGTTTACAATATGTAACGTTGTAATTTTACAAATAATGTTGCCTACTTTTGTGCATTCTTTCACTTTTCTTTATTACTATTCAAGTCCCCCCTAAAGATGTACATTTGAGATTTATTAAAAATTCTTTACAATTATCTAACCAGCATACAAAGAAATACTTTATGACTAATAAAAAAATATGATGAACATTCTTTGTTGCAACGATAGCAACAAAGTCGTTACCTAGGACAGCGCCTACGAGTATGCTGCAAATTATTAATAAAGTCATATTAATCTCATCCAATAATGCATTAAGTCTATATGCACACAATAAGCCAAGCGAAAACAAATTTCTTTTTTCTCCTCTTCTACTTATTATTGTCAATGGATTTGCTGCAGTTAAAGACTGTTTGGAAGGAAAATTATTGTTTATTTTTTTTTTCACTTCACGGATCTGAAAATGAAGATAACGTGAGGGTGTATAATACCGAAGTGCTTTTCTGTGGCTCTCAAAGAATGCATTGTAAGCTACTGTTTTGTATATATACAAATCTTCATAGATTTGCTTTTTTGTTGCAAATTATGCATTTATTGATGAAATTGCTGCAAAGTCAACTTTAGACATCTCAATTTTCTCCATTATAGAGTTTAATATTATGATTTTGTGTGTTTGTTTTTGTGAAACAGTAAGCTATAACATATGCATACCAATAAATGATGATAAAATTTGTTGTCTGCAATAAAAACCAAGTATAAATTATGGTTGTAAATAGTGAGGTTTTAAAATTCTTAAAGTATTGTCACAAAACTTATTTCCAAACGATAAAATATCTCCTTAGAAATTGGGCTAACATATTCTACTAATGACTACAGCCAGTGTTACAAGTTCTCTTGATGTCACTATAAAGAACAGTAACTTCATGTAAATGTAACTGTCTGTAATAGACTTAACGCGCTTGTTATTCCATTATATATTGCAGTTGTTCCCTATGAACTGAGTTGATCAAAAATTCAAAAGATAATGAACTTTTATCGAAAAAAAATTTTGGGAGCTTACTTTGAAGGAGATTAATTATTGATATAACTTTTTGGTCTTTGAATTATACACCTCCGCCTAAGTAAATTTCTGACTAAGAGTCTGGTATTAATTTTTTTTCATTGAATTTGAAAGAGTATATATCTAGAGAAAGTATATGTATCTTGACTATATACAACTATGACTCATGTTTGTTATTATTTCAGAGATATAGTAAACAATTTTTTATATAATGTTACCTCCAAATAAAAACAGAAAAAAGTTATATCAGGAACAGTCAGGTTTTAGACAGGTTTTAGTAAATACTAGATAAAGTGATTTTACTAAGTAAAATGCTTTTACTAACCGTGATAAATAGCTAACATTTTTTTATTATTTAATCAAAGCTTATAAGTGCGGTAAACTAGGAGAGATTTATAGGTACAATTTACTTTATATGTTTATCTCGGTACATTTCGGATTTTTGACTATACCCAATTGATTTCTTGTCAATAAATATTTTCTCATAAACTTTGAATTTGAAAAAGAATTATTAAAACTCTTTTTCTCTATATGAGTGAAACGTATCATGGGTTAAGTTTTTTAATAAACAATACTATGCTGTCAGTATTGCTTACTCGAAATTTATTGCAATCGTGAAAGCTGCAAAGAATCTTAGGAACAAAGTGGTTGTTTTAATAAGAAAATGAACAAAAGCATGTATTCTCTCATAAAATTACTAGAATTTTTATTTGATCGATATTTCGACTTTAGTCTTAAGTCATCATCAGTTTTCTGATGATATTGTAAAATTAAATTGTGATATCTTTTTCTTAATTTGTATTTTTTAACAACAATAAAAAAAACACAAAATTATTTCCATATATTCGATTTTGGTGTTATACTTACTACTTCTCTGTAGTAAAGATATATATATATAAAAAATTTTTTACATATTCATACTGGCTCTAATAAAATAGACGAAGTCCTTAATTGTGCATGGAAAAAATGTACTCAGCCAATTCAGTAAAGAGTACTTAAAAGTCTTAAGTATGCATATATGCACTTTTCTTTGGTACCTAAGATATTTCGTTAGGTGCCAACCTTATGTGGAATTTGTCGTATTAGTACGACTTTGCTACAAGTACTGCTTTTACTGCAGTCTTTGTGCAAATACAAAAGTTCAACTCAATTATGGGAAAACTTCAAATACAAAACCACCATTTTTTAATTAAAAATAAAGATTATTTAAAAACTCAAAAGAGATCTGAGACAATGAACCTCAAGTAGTTGAAAGAACTACTTGGGAAAAACAAAAACAACAGAAGTAGCTAATATAATAGGTAACTGGAAGAGTAGCATAATTATATTATATGCAGAGGAGATATGATAAAAAGAAAAAAGTTCTTCTGAAATAATGTCAACAAAAGCTAATTAGTTTATTTAAGATGTTGGAAATATAAAAAGTGTAAACAAAAAAAATCTATACAAACCTACTCAGCGATAAAAAAAATATTATACTACTAAGTGCATATAACTGACAAACGACGGACAGACGGTAGCGCACTTATACTTAAAAAATGCTCAAGGATATGCGCGCTCCTCTATATAAAAAGGAATTGAAAAGCTTATAAAGAAAAAACAACGTCACGAAATGCATATAAGTGACTCAAACCCGCTACCGGATGCGGTATTAATAACTCAATTTTAGCTTTAGTCACCGCTTAAACTAAGCAACTGCCGCTTTTCAACACTGCCAGTAGCGAGTACGTTTACTGTGAAAATCGTTTTTTTTTTAGAAACGGTTTTTTTTCATATTTTAAAATTTTTGAGGTTAAGTGTACTTTTAGGTTAGCTTGTGTGAAAAGATGTTTTGCTGCTGTTGGCAGTACCTGCTGCTTGGTTTGCTGCAGTAAAAAGTGTTGCCAATTACTTCATTATGTGCAAATGTATTTGTGGCAAGGTAGGTGACAATTTCATTTGATGTGTGTATGCTTTTATTTTGTTGCTGCTGTTGCACATACATTGCATTGGTGCATATGCACATGCATGTATATGCATGCAGGTGCATGCATAGGAAGTGGAAGTTGGCATGCGTGGTGTATTATACACGTTAAGCAAACAACATCCAAAGCATTTGGATTTAGCTTATTAATAATGTGGTTGAGTACTTGGTTGGGGGAAACGGACTTAATAGCAGTAGATGGCAAAGTGGCACTTCTAAAGAAAACGAAGATTGTTCATATGAGATTTTCACAAAATGCGTTAGCAGCAAATGAAAAAATTAAATAATATTAAAAAAAAAATGAAAACACACAAATATCCTGTATACTTTTTGCTAAATAAATTTTGAAGGAGTTCTTATGTTGATATGTATGCCTTCTGGTTTCTAATATGATAAAAGTGTTTGGCAGAGTTATTTAAGAAGTGGCATCACATAAATACCTAATGCTTTCTAATAAATTACTAATTCTATATAATAGTAAATTTATTATTTAGGTTGCAGAATAAAAAATTACAGCGTCTAATATTTGTATAGTTTTTAATTTATGTAAATT